TCCTGAAATGTCTACTTTTACAAGTAGACTTGGAAGTTGGAAGATGAGGAGAAAGTGAATATTATAATGTTGTCCCATAATTCTCTTAGAGATGATCTTCAAATATTTTGGATAACTTAATACAAATAAATTTAAAAGTAATATTTAATACTTCAGAGCAACTGAGTACTTATTTTTTCCTGCTAAATGAATACAAAACAGTAATTTATTTACTATTTAGCTAACATTACCTCTCCATGTCATCTGTATATATGTAGATTGTTTTTGTATGTGAACATATGCTCTGAAAATGTTTTATCCTTATGGGATTTCTTACCAAAAGTTACATTTTCAAAGAGCTGAGAAAAGGACTTGTCCTTTGGTTAGAAATGCCAGTTGTGTATGAGTTGTGAAGGCAGTAATTAAGGGGCCAAAGCATAAAACAAATGGAATATATGATACTCATGCTTTTAGTAGGCGTGACTTCAGCTTATACAAAAAAAATTATGTGGTATTAAGACCCCCAGGCACACATGTGATCATGTAGTACACTACTTTTCTGTCTTATTGATGCTTATGAAAACCAATATGAAATGAGTAACAAATAGTATTAGAAATATGCAAAGAGGTTTAAAAGATAAGAAAAGCCATCACTGACTATTAGCTAAGCTTATTCACTTATTATTGAAATCTCATAAATTTAAACCATACTTTAGAGTTCTTTATGGAAGTGAATAAAAGGATGTAAATATTAATTGTACATTACTGACAGGGGCTAAAGGACAGGGAATGCAGCTGGTAATTACTAGTTACTTCAAGCATTTGCAGCTTGCATAGTTTGACATTTTCAAATGACCATGACTTTCTTCTTCCCTTTTGATCCATGCCTAGAAAATGAATGCATTATAGATTTCTGCCCTTAGGCCCACAACTGATCGTGAGACTTTGTTCGTATGTAACTATGTGCTGAATGATTTCTCAGTTCTGGGCCGTGTGCTGTGCAGGGAGTCCCATTTGGAGAGCCAGTTCACTGGGGATGTGATTTCACTATGTCCATGCTCTGATCATACAAAATGAATGGTGAGCTCCTGGTGTGTCTGCTTCATGACAGCCTTGCAGGTTTCCCATGATGGTAGAGCTCTGTGAATACTCCTTTAGTGCAAATCCTGCCTTCCTGGAGAATGGAGAAGTGAAAAAAGGGCATTGCTTTATTCTCCACATT